TTATTTATTAAAAAAACATTTTTAAAATAAAAAATAATAATTCATAGACCAATGTTAAATTGTTCCCTTCTTAATTTACATCAATGAGAATAAAAAAAATGTAAAATAGTCTCTCTCCACCATTGATTAATAACCATTTGGGCTAGTGGCGGAGTTTGAGAACCTTGCATGAGATGATAAGTTCAAATTTTTTTACTGCCATTATTAAAGAATAATATTTTTATATGAACGGTATAATATTACAATGTAAATATTTGATATTTATATAATTAAATTTATAACAAATAAAATATGCAAATTATATAATAGTTGAAATTCATAATAATTTTTTAATATATAAAATAAATTTATTATTTATATTTTTTTATAAATAAATTAGAATAATTATCTTGAATGGTAATTTTTGTATAAATTATTAGTCAACAAAATACTTTTAAGAATTTTATCAAATTAAAATTGAATTTGAGCATATTCGAAATTAAAGCTAAACCAATTTGGTGGTAAAGTTGGAAAAATGATAAAATTGAAGGAGGATATGAGATGTGTGTTTATTTTTCTTAATACCAATCCAATTTAATCTACGAACACCTGAATTCTGCATACCCTTTCTACAGTACAGGAATGAAAAACTACCAAGAGAAGTAAGAGCCAGCTCGAACTCCCTTCAAAAAAATTATAATTTATCATTCATCTTGTATTTTGACAAAGTAATTTATCCTATATCGTTCATCTTATATTTTGACATTACTTTTCATACACTATTCACATTTAGTTGGATGCACCTAATTTATTCGGTTGTTAATGTTAAGACTTTCTATACCTACAAATTTGCTAATCATAAATTTAAAATTTGACACACTATATCAAATTAATAGTTGTTTCACACATTTGTTATTTTATAATTTACTCTTTAATTTTAAAATTCTTGTCATTTTAACGTATTTTTATATTGTAAATATAAATATAATATTTCTTTTTGTGAATCTTATTATTATACTTTATGCTTTCTTAATTGTTTGACAATGATAATATTTGTCTTCTTGAAAAAAATCTAACCATGCCTATATTATGCAGGGAAAAGTTGTTGATATATATGTTGAATTTAGTTTAATTTCTTGTCCCTAAGCTTTTGGATCTTTTCTTGAAGACAAGACAGGACAGAGGACACTGATCAACAACTACTGCAAAAATGCAAGCTGCTCTGAAAAACCCCACTTGCCCACTTCTTTGCACGAAAAAAAAATGATCCGTTGCTATTGCCAGCAAAATACAGTACCAAAGGTGGATCCATTTTGACTGACTTTACACAGTATCATTGAGGCCCAATCGATACTACATTTTTAACTAGGAAAAATTTGTGGAACTAAGGAGACATTAGTTAGAAGGAAAAGATAAATGTTTAGAAATCATGATTTTTAGAAATAATTATAATTTGTTTGATTATTCAAAAATATTGTTAGACATGTTTATATATATTATTTGGATATAAATAATAAATCAAATATGAAGAGTTAACATTTTCAACATGAGATTCTTAATGGACCATCTTATATAAATTTAGAGTAATAACATCATTATGCGAGAAAAATGATAAACATTAATTAATTATAAAATCTCTACAAGGCTTCACAAATTTTCATATGGCCCACAATGTGTCTATAAGAAAAATCATCTTCAAAATTTAAAACCAAAAACTCAAACACTTTGCACACTACGTACATATTAAGATCATCTTTTATTCTTTACTAATCACAAAAAATTGAAATATCCTCTCTCCAATGCACCACTAAAGAAAGCAACAAAAAGCAAACCTGCAAGACTGCGAGTTGCACGCTCTAAGGAGCTGTAACCCAACCATGGAGCAAAGATGGAAGATTATTTTAAGGGACCGCAATTTCTGACTAAGAACACTAATAATTATGCAAATGAACAAAAAGGGATTATATAAAACGCTTCGTTTGTGTCAAAAGGTTATACAATAACACAAATGTTTTAGTATTTTGGAAAAGAAGAAGAACATAATAAAATAATGATCCACCGGAAGTAAGAAACTAAGAATTGTTAATTTTACACATGTTGAAACTTGAAAGGACAATGCTCCGTGGAAAACTATTTCTACTTTCTCTTTCGCAATTTCAACAGACTGAATTCTTAATTGTAATTTTAGGTTATACAATAAATATAGATGTAATATGCATTTAATCGTTTGTCGGACTCACCATGATGAAAAATTATGTTTCTACCGAGCATTCATCAAAGACTATTCCTCTCAACATTTAAGTGCGAAGAATGATTTAGGAAGGACAATTTAGATAGATAAATGACGCAACAACTTATTAAGATTTTGTATCAAAATTAGATATAAATTAAATTAAATATGTTTTTAGTCTAAATTTATTTTTGTCCTTTAAATTTAAAAACATTATTTTTAATTTTTGCAATTTTTAAAAATCTTATTTTAATCTATCATGTTATTAATAACATATCTAAAAGTGACATATTGAGATAATTATGTAGAGTTTAATGTGATTTCAGAAATAAAGATACCAATAAATAAGTTTTATATAATAGTATTTGATATATTCTTATAATAAAACTTGTATATAAAGACTGAAACAATATTTTTAATTGAAATATATATAGGTTTAATCTGATTTTATTAATAAAAATCCTAGTAGGTAGATTTTATATGATAGTATTTGATAAAATTTTAAACAAAAATGGAATATAAATATTAAAACAATATTTTCATTTGAAATTACAAGAATTAAAAATATCAATTTTAAATTTGAGAAATTAAAAATAAATTTATTTTTAATTTAAAGGATAAAAATATATTTAAAATTATTAAATTTATTCATCGGTCCTTCAATGAGCTCAATAGCAATAATTTTGGACACTCCATTTTTTTTATAAATATTACATCCATTTTTTTTATATCATATTTCTCTCCTTCTATTACATTATATTATTGTCATGCTTAATTTTTTCTTCTCCTCTCTTTATGTGTCTAATAGTAATAGTATTTGAATTGTCTACAAATATTATTACTTAACTCAAAATGATGGTAATTCTCTTAGTTTTCGGGTTTTTTTTCTTAATTTGATAGTTTGGTAGGATTAAAAACTTGTTTAGATGAAAGTTTAGAAGTATTTCTAAGATTTTTTTAATTAAAATAAAGAATATTTTTTTGGTAAAAAAGTTTTAGAAATATTTTTAACTTATAATAAATATGCTATAAGAGTCTATTTGGATATAAACTCAAAAATATTTTTTAAAGGTTTTTTATTAAAAAATAATTTTTATTTCTAAAAAGTACTTTTAACTTGTATCAAAACAGTCTTTAATAATTTTTTTTTGGAGAAGTGATTTAGTAAGGAGTAAAAAAAGAATGAGAGGAATTATCAATAAATTTAAAAATAAAACATGAGTTTGGAGGAGAGAATTTAAGTGAATTTGATAATATATTATAATGAGACTTAATTTCACTCTTATGGGTTTGATTTGTGTAGAATTTTTTACAAAGAAAAATAAGACAAATTATCCTACACCATTGTCTAAATATACTTTTAAAAAGTTAGTAAAGCATAAAAATATAATTGTGTAAATAATTTATTTTATATAAAAATCTAACTGCATAAAATATAATTTAAAACATCATTTTCTCTTTATTTCTCAACCATTCTTTTTTATTTCTTAAAATTTCTCTCCTTTCCTAAATAAACTATAAGTGTTTTGAGATAATAATTGTCTATTAATATTTTATCATACTGGTGTTACAAAATGATAGGTGAAAACATACCCAGAATCCAATAACAATTGGATCCGAAAAGTCCGAAGCCCAAAGAATATTGGGGGAGGGAGGGTTGGATATGTTTTGGATAAAAGTAAGTTAAAAGAAATTGATATGCATTTTTTTTTTAACTTATACATCTTACCCATTTTTTAAATTTTTTTAGAATACTTTTTTTTTCCTCTATAAATTGAGTTCCAAAGATTATTTTACAGATAAGGTTTACTAGTATTTTAACTGAGTTGTTTTAGTTGTATTATGTAATATGTATCGAGTTAGGTATGATGTTTGACATATACTAAGTTAAGTGTTGTAAAAATGTTTGAGATTTTATGATGTTGTTTATATGTCATATGAGATGATGGTGATTGTATAATTATAGTGTAAGTTGAGAGCATGCACTATTGTGTAATTAAGTTGTAATATAGTTAATTAATTTATATATATATATATATATATATATATGTGTGTGTGTGTGTGTGTGCGCGCGCGCGTGTATATACATATCTAAGAGTTGTGACAATATTGATCTTAATTAATTATATGTGAGTATAGTAGTTATAGTGATAGTTATAATTTACATTATGGTACAAGATTATTTTTATTTTTTGATAATTTATTTTTAAAATAATAAAATTTAATTCATAAATAATATAATAAATTAAATTAAAAATTCTTAAAAACTTTTCGTGTGAAGGTTGATTTGTATAATACTAAACTTTTAACTTGTTTCAATATTATATAACACTTTTTTTAATCTCTATAACATTCCATTTAATGTAACTAATAAAATATTTAAAAAATGTGTGGTAAAACACTTTATCGTCTAGATTTTATATTTTGGAGAGTGGAGAAAAAAAGAAGAAAAAAAAAAAATATATATATATATATATATATATATTTTTGTGTAGAATGGAAGTATATCTAATATCATCTTTAAAATACTTTTACTTGTTAATAATAATCTCACGGGATACATAAGATAATATATATGAATACTGTAGAGTGCCGTAATACGGTGGTAGGACCGCCAGGAGACCGGGGTCTCAGAACCCGTAAAAAAAATGTCTGTACAACATATAAATTAGTACTATTTTTTTTGTACAGAATTAAATAATTTTCAACAACACTCCTGCAGATGGGAAGAAACTTTTGTGGAATATATGAAGAATTATTAAATGAAACTTTGTTTTAATAAAGTGGTTTTTAACAGAAGCTAAAGAGGAAAGAAAAGACCATATCACTGCTGAGAATCTTGGATAAAAGGACATTCACTCCTCTTCTCTCTTTGCCTTTGCGCTCCTCAAAAACAGAGTACCCTACACACAATATCAGATAAGCAGAGAGAGAATATTTCTGTGCGTGCACCTGCAGATGGCTCGGAGCTCCACAAGAATCAAATGGGTCTCCATCTTCACTCTTCTCATCCTATCCCCCTTGGCCGCCTTCACAACCTTTGCAGAAGATGGTAACGTCCCTCTCTGCTTTCTTTGCTTCACAATACATGCTGAGATCTGATACTGCAAGCCTCCTTTAGCATTTCACTACTTGTGTCTGCTTATATTTGTCTCTCATTCTATTGTTTTGGTGGGGTTTTAGTTATCTATCCATGAAATGCCAGTAATTAGTAGCTCTGATTGAAACGGGTTTCTGGGACCAATTTTAGAAACAAGAGAGTGATCTATTGGGTTCATTATTGGAAACAGTTCCGGTTCTGGTTCACTAGATTGCTAGTTAATTAACTTAATTTAGTTACACTGTTTGACTTTGTTCAAGGCTTTCTACTTCTAAAAGAAGTGAACTGAACTTATCGTTTTCCATGTCGACGACTCTGCTCATCATTTTCAACATTACAAGGCCCACCTTCCTCTTTATCATGACCATTTTTCCTTACTTGTGATCATCACTTTTCTAATCATTCTGGGGTGTGCTTCGTTTTCCACCCACTAGCTGTTTTAATTTCATTTACTGAAGGAAGCTTCTGATTTTATTTCACATCCCCCTATTAATCTTTCTCCATACACATTGTCCATGCCATCAGGAATGAAGTTAAAATTGTACCCAAAAATGAAATTTAATTTTTTAAAAATGATGGCAAAAGTTAAAAAATGGCACTAGCTGTGAGTATTTTTAAAGCTACTTGTAAGTCCTAAGCACACATACTTGAAAGAAAAAGTAATTTTCTAATATAAACTACAAAACTTTAATAAAAACGCTTTAATTTTTTTATATAGCTACTTTTTGAATAGTATCTAATAATGCTTTATGCCGGTGTAAGTCAGTATTACACATCTTTACTGAAAAAAGTAGCATGTAGGAGTTTGATTGTGTATGATCCTTTTCCGGGGAAGAGTGTACATGACAGTACTTTGTGTAGTTTAGAAATAAATCTAAATGCACCGCAAAACATCACCATCGTGCAATTATGGATGCCAAAAACTAGCCATATAAATAAAAAAGGAAATACTACCCGAAACTCTAGCTAGAAAAAAAAAATGTAGATCAAACTAGGTAGTGGTTTCTTACAGTGGGACTAATGGACTATAGTATTAGGAGAAGAAAAATCATAATATAAAAACCGGCCTAGAGATGCACGAAAGAAGGCTAGGTGAGTAAGCGTATGGGTCCGGGGCAAAATACCTTTTTGATTCTTGTTATCCTAGGGATGCCAAATGACCGAATTAACAGTGTTCCCGCCACTCAATACACACTTTTTTCCCCTTCAATCTTGACCAAAGTGCAAGGACCTTTCCGTAAAGGACGCAAGCACTATTATTGTCGCTATCCTCCTCCATTCCCATGACCATGCCCTAACCATGCTCAGTTAAATAATAAAAGATCACGGTAAGAAAATAAAATAAAATAAAAATAAAAGTTGTACTATTTTTCATCCTCATTTGGTAGCACGCGTTAGGACCCACGCGCTCCTTGCGGCTTCAGGTTTAAGGTGGATTGGAAAAAACCACAATTTGTTCTCCGTCAACATCGTCTTTTGTCGTTTTTCCTGCCTTCAAAATGTTCATTGTGAGGCCCTTTTGCCTCTAAGCTGCATCGTTAGTTGGCTCTTTATTGTTTCGACGTGGGCTTTCACACTCTTGAGGCCCATTCTCGGATAAGGCAATCCATGTTATTCTACAAGTTTATTGTTTTCTCTTGTTGAGTTGGTGTTATTTTTTATGTGAAAAACATAAATGTATAGTCGGGACCAGATATTTACAAAGAATGGTGTGGGTAAGGTGCAACTCACTACAAAACGACGCACATATTTGTTACGTTTTAGATCAACATCAATGTTGATTACATTATATTAGGTTGGAATTACCTGTGGGAATGGGTGGGGGAACATGTGCTTGTGGACTACACCTTGACAATGATGCTGCCGGTTCTTGTTGAAAATACCTTGAGAGCAATATGTGGACCCATACTCATCCCAATTGCTTTATTATTTTCTTCTTAAAATAAATGATATCCATGTTATGCTTGATGCTTAGCTTGCTCGAAACACTAGTGGGTGGCTACGGAGTAGTATAATTTTTCACTTGACCCCTTGTCACCTTGTAGGAGTCTAAACGTAATCAGTGTGCGCTACTTTTTGTCAAACTTCATAATTTAACATTTTAATAAATTTATAAAGAAAAATGAATGATAGTGTGTGCTAGTAATCTTGGAGGGTCCTCTAATTATTTGAAATTGCATGCAGTCTTGTTGATGTCGCATTTTGGTGGGTCCTATGAGTTAAGCTTTTGAAATTGTTAACTTTATTATTTTTATCAGAGTTAAGAGTTGTCTTTGCTTAACTAAACTTAAACTGTTAGCTTAAGGGAAAAGATTGCACAAATCGTTAAAAGGAGTGCATTTTTCATATACACACAACCAATGTAAGATTATACCAACATTGAAGTGTTTAAGTAAAGAGTTATTTCGGTACATAAGTAAAGAAAAGATGAATCTGAGGGGAAGCTTTTTTCAAAACTATGTTCAGTAAGTATCAGTACTTTTTGATAGCAGTAAAAAACAGCGTATCAATGAATGGATGATTAAAAAGATAGATGTACCACATGATTGTGTGTTGTCATTTTCACTTGTAAACTTTTCAGCTGAGTTTATTGTTAGCGTATGGTAGTTTCCCATTTTGGAAATTGAAAGACAAGTTATTAAGAACTGACTGGTGGATGATGAGATTAGAGATAGCTTTGTTGTTGAGCAAGGATTGTTTTATCATATAGTATATTTTTTTTCCCAAGTTAATAATATAAAATGAATTACAGGGCTAGTGGCGAATGGAGATTTCGAGGCTACCCCATCCAATGGGTTCCCTAACGAGGCGATAGTAGAGGGCCCCAGCGACGTCCCAAATTGGAAATCAAACGGCACCGTTGAGCTTGTGGAGTCTGGGCAAAAACAGGGTGGGATGATCCTCATCGTACCGCAAGGTAGACACGCGGTGAGGCTGGGCAACGACGCGGAGATCAGCCAGGAAGTACCGGTTGAGAAAGGCTCTATTTACTCGGTCACGTTTTGTGCGGCTCGCACGTGCGCCCAGCTGGAGTCCATCAACGTGTCGGTCGCACCTGCATCGCAGACCATAGACCTGCAGACACTCTACAACGTCCAGGGCTGGAATCCTTACGCGGTTTCTTTCAATGCGGATCAAGACACGTTCAGGTTGGTATTTAAGAATCCCGGCATGGAGGATGACCCCACTTGTGGCCCCATCATTGACAACATTGCTATCAAGAAGCTTTTCACACCTGATAAGCCCAAAGGTACGTATTCCATTCTTTCATCTTTCAACCCCCCCTAATTCTACTTTATTTGCCACTTACGACTGCACAATTTGCAAATTTTGTATCATCTCAACATAATATGTTAATTATTGATGTAATATACTATAATTGATGATGTGACACATTATATTGTATCATGTCAACAACTATCATATCATGTTAATAATTACTAATAATGATTTATAGTAGTTAACTAATGGGATGTAGCTAAGATCCCTTTGGTGAATGATACATTTGGTGAATGGTATTGATGTTTGTGCAGACAACGCAGTGATGAATGGAGATTTTGAAGAAGGTCCATGGATGTTCAGGAATACTTCACTGGGCGTTTTGCTTCCCACAAACTTGGATGAAGAAACTTCCTCACTGCCCGGTTGGATAGTGGAATCGAACAGAGCCGTGCGCTACATTGATTCTGATCATTACTCTGTCCCACAAGGCAAGAGAGCCATTGAGTTGCTCTCGGGGAAGGAAGGCATCATATCCCAAATGGTTGAGACCAAACCTGACAAGCTATACAGCTTGACCTTCTCATTGGGCCATGCTGATGACAAATGCAAGGAGCCTCTTGCTGTCATGGCCTTTGCCGGTGACCAGGCTCAAAACATTCATTACACTCCCAATTCCAATTCCACCTTCCAAACTGCTAACCTCAATTTCACTGCCAAGGCTGAGAGAACCAGAATTGCTTTCTATAGCATATACTACAATACCAGAAGTGATGACATGAGTTCTCTATGTGGGCCTGTTGTGGATGATGTCAGGGTTTGGTTTTCTGCCTCCAATGGGCTTCCTGGCTTGGGCTTTGTAAGGCTTGGGCTTGGGATTTTGGCTTTAGTTTGGCTTCTCGTGTAAAAGGGTTTCATTTGCTCTTGCTTTATTTATCTCTAATAGGTTGTTTTGGGTTGGGGGTGATAGGTGAAGTCACATTCTCCACGTCAACAATGTTGTATGTGAACTGGCCTCAAGTTTATAGTTTATAGTTTATGCTATGTGAGAAATGAAAATGTCTTAGCTTTGTCATTCATGTTTTTTCGCTGGTGAAGACTTTCTTTTTTCTTTTATAGGAAAAGAATGCGACTAAAAGTCTTAGGTTGATGCTTAACTGCATCTCTGGTATTCAATGAATCTATCCTAGGTACGATGGTTGATACATCGAACGTGGTAGTTGAAGTGTGTCTCAGACCATCATAAATTGGTCATGCTTTTCATTCCAACTGTTAACTCCAAGTCACCAGCCAAGGCCAATAATATGTTTTGTGAATTAATAGTCTGCATGTAGTTACTACTAATTAGTTACAAATTAATAAGTTGCTAATCGAAGAATGTTTCGGTCGTCATTTGATTGGTTGATTAGATTGAATTTAATGTTAAATTGGAAACTGTACAGATATCATTGGTTTATGATTTGATTAGTTCAGTCAAATGGTGACGAGGAAAAAAAATATTGTCGTTTGGTAGCAAAGAAATATGATAGGTGGTGGCTAAGAAATAAAAGTGTGGGTAAGTTAAACGTATAAAATTCATTCGTAATCAATTAATATATTACTTGCAATTAACTAAATTGTTTTTCTATATTGAAAATCTAAACAAAAAATCTTATTAAATTGAATAAATAAAAGTTTTTTTTTTCAAAAAAAAAGTTTAATTTTGAAACTTTCAAATGACTAAAAAAAATCTATTAAAAGTTTAAACTTTTAAATGATTTTTAATTGTTTATATACTTTAAATTTATTCACTTAATTCAAATTTATTTTAATTAATTTCTAATCTAATTTAATTTTAGTTTATAATTATTTACTTTCTTTTAATTAGTTATTTATTTTATTTCCAATTATTATTTATTTAGTTATATAAATTTATTTAATTGCTTAAAATATGAAATAATTAATAAAAAAGTTTTAAAAATAATTTTTATTTTCTATTTCTTTCTTTTTTACTTGTTTTTATTTATTTTATTTTTCTTTTATCTTATCTCTTTTTTTATATACCTTATTTCTCATCTATTTCTTTTCATCTTATCAAATATATATAGTATTATTTATCACCTATTTCTCTTTTAACTAAACAACTAAATTCTCCTCTATTTCTTATCTATTTTTACTCATATATTTCTCTCTTGTCTATTTTTCACCTATTTCTTTCTTTTCTATCAAACACAACATTCATTTTTTTTTTACATAATTTTGGTAAAATTTTGTATACTATTTGAATCAAAAATTTTAAATGAGAAATTATATTTCTATAAAAAAAATGGTAAACTCTTAAGCTTTTATCCTGTGCTTGTAGGCTTTAATTGATAGAAAGCTTCACTTGTTTACTTGATGGATGAATTTCATGGTTGTTTGATGCACATTAATGTTTACTTGCATAGGAGTGGTGGCAACATGTCTTTAACTTCATTTTATGTTTTTTTTTTTTTTGGCCTTTTGCGGTCTTCTTTTATTTATATTTTAAAATCCTCAACAATTGAATAGATAAAAAAAAACACTTATTTACGATTTATTGGCTTAATAGTTGTAACGACTCGCCACGGTCTCTACAGTTAGTGGAATCGCACTACAACTAGTTAACTAAGAGAATATTAAACTGGATAACACATACATACAGGCATAAATATAAAGATCGAAATAATTAAGTTTCTGTATATAAAATATAGCACCATATATGTACAGTCATCCCAAAATATTCCTTAGTGCCGGTCAAGCACTGACAAAAAAAAGTTACCCAGAATGGTAACTCAAAACACGAGACTCAGCTCCTCGTCTCACAACGATCATCTCTACTCCCAAGCTATCCCTGACCTGCTCCCATACCAAGTATGATCATCGCAGTTCCACCACATGGAAAACA